CGACGACGGGACCCCAGGGCTTCGAAAACAGTCACCAAACAGCTCAGTAAACCTAGCTTTACGTGCCTCCAGGGCCTCCTGTTGGGCGAGTCCCTGGCGGGCCCTGGACACACTCGACTTAGAACCTAAAGTGGGCTCCTTGCTGGGCCTCGGGGCTTGAGGAAGCCTGGGGGAGACCACGAGGGAGCGGGTGAGAAGTTGGAGCCCAGAGCTCCTAAACACTAAAGCAAGACCCTGATGAGGCTTCCAAGGGACCGCACGCACAGCACAGATGGTTTTGAGAAACGGCGTGGCCTCAGGGCTACACACAACGTAGTCGAGCACCCTGTCGCGCCCCTGATGGTTGGCGCAGGTGCCCTCGGGGCCAGCTGTACGAATGACCCCTTGCACATTCTGAACAAAACGGCTGGCGGCCAAAGTGTCAGGCTCCATATTGAAGTCGCCCACGACCACCCATGGGAGCCTGAGGGCCCTCAAGAGACCTCCGAGCCTTTGAAATCTGACCTTATTGTGGCCATTCATCTGGGTGCACGGCAGGGCATAAAACACCACCACGACGATGGAGTACCCAGCCATGTGCAGCACCATTGGAAGAAATCCGTCGAGACTAGTCTGACCAGCCTCACGCAGGTGGCCAGCAGCAACCTTGGCCTCTGGCAAGACATGGGCCTGGAGGTGCTGCTGGGCCATGAAAAACTCGCCGCCCTCATTGGCCCGCTCCTCATGCTCCGCTGCCACAGATCTGGATGAGGGGCGGGCCGCATTGTGATGAAGCCGAAGGTGAGCCCCCCTCGCCTTCTTGTCCCACTCTCTGAGCTCCGACTCGGAGTGAATGTGAGTCTCTGCCCAGGCCCAATACTCGTATTTGCAATAATTTAATTGGAGGTATTGCCACACCTTGGGAGTGAAGGCGGTGACATTAGCATAGAACAATGTCGTGGTGCCCTCGGTGTGTACTCGCTGATCCCGCGATAGTCAAGAAGCGGCCTCAGAGCCCTTCCCCTTGGCCTTGGCCTTGGCTGCTGCCGCCTCGGCCTTGGCGATGAACTTGGCCTGCGACAGCTTCTTGGCCTCTGACTCGATCTTCTCCGCAGTCGCCTGGGGGGCCTCTGCCTCCTGGGGCGTGGCCTTGGGCGCCGTGTCCGTCGGCGCGCTGGCCCCGCCCTCCGGCTTGGCCTCCTCCTCGGCCGCTGCGGCCTGCCCGTCGTCGTTCTTCCTCTTCTTCTTCCTGAGGCGGTCGGTGATGTCATTCTGCATCTTCCTAGCATTGTCGAGCCAGGCCTTGATCTCTGCTTCCTTGCCCGTCAGGTCCGTCTTGACGCCCTTGAGCTGCTCATGGAGTGTGTCCAACGCTCGGCGCTCCTCGGGCGTGCATTCCATCTCGTCCAACGAATTGAAGAAGCCCTCGTCCCACTCGACCTTGAACATGGCTGTCGTGGACTGCTCCTCTGAGGGCGGCCCCACGCCCTCCGCCTTCGCGACGGCGTGGGCGGCAGCCTTCTTGGCCGCGGCCGCCTGCGCCAAGGCCACGGCAGCCCTGCCCTCCTTGGCCTCGGCGGCCTCGAGGCTCTGCCTCAGGCGGAGCACGTTGTCCACGCACTGGTTGTGGTGGTGCTCCGCGTTCTTCCACGCTCCGTCGGCCTTGCGGAGCGCCTCGGACGGGGACACCGACGACTCGGACTCGGCCTTGGCCTGGGAGCTGATCTTCTCAATCTGCTTCTTGAGCGCCTCCTGCAGCGCGGCGTCCTCGGTGGCCTGGGCCGCCTGCTGGAGCAGCTCTGTAACGGTGGTGCCTGGCGAGGTCTTCACTGGCGATCCCTTGGCTGTCCCGCCGCGCCATGAGCCTTTGGGAGAGTGGCTGCGCTGGCGGCCCCGCTGAGGAGCAGCGGCGGGAGACGGGGTCGCGTCGGGCCGTACTTCGTCCTCCCAATGTACCCGACGTACTGCTGGCTTGAAAAGCGTGATCGCCGCACCACACCCTGGGCACACGTGCCCCTGCTTGACAATGATGGTGTTCCACTCGCATCGGCGGCACTGATCACATCTGGTCCACAACTGCGACATGGCGAACTCTGGTCTCGGTGTTGGTCACAAACCTTGGGCTGTGGCTTGGCCCTCGGAATGGGTCCCTCAAGCGCTGCGAGGAAGCCCCGAGAATTGTGCGCGTGGGGAGCTAGGGCCGCTGGGCCCCTGCTCCTGCTTGCGCCCAAATTGCTTGAGTGATGAGGAGGAGGAGGAGGAGGAGGAGGAGGAGGAGGAGGCTGAGGATGAGGATGAGGATAAGGATTAGGATGAGGATGAGGATGAGGATGAGGATGATGATGATGAGGAGGAGGAGGAGCAGGAGGAGGAGAATTAGGAGTAGGAGTAGGAGGAGGAGGAGGAGGAGGAGGAGGAGGAGGAGCCGGAGGAAGAAGGAGGAGGCGGAGGAGGTGGGGACGGCGGAGATCGGCGGAGGGGAGGAAGGAGGAGCAGTAGGGAGGAGGCCAGAGCAGCTCCAAGCTTGCTGCCCCCTCTCGCCAACGCCCGCCGGAGCCCTTTCGGAGGGCGGCCCCCCCCGGAGCAGAGGCGCCCGGACGGGCGCTCTGCCGCCCCGCGAGAGACCGCCCGCCGGGAGGGCTGCGCGCGCAGCTCGTCGCCCCCAGACAAAGATGAGCCCCGAGTGCTCCTGCGATCTGCCTCCACCCGCAGCCCGCCGCGTGGGCACGCGCGCGGGCGGCGGCGCGCCCCATTGCCCGGATAATCATCGGAGGTAGACATCCTGCCCTGACGCGTCGATTAGCGAATTGGCCGTTTTCGGTGCGCGAGGGGGCGTCGCGAGCGTCATGTTTGCGGGTTCAGGTCCGTCGGTTTCGGTCCCAGGCCGTTTTCACTAAAGGGTGGTTTACTAAAGGGAGTTTTGTCCACCGCCGAAATCAGCCGCCGCGCGCACCAGTCCGATCACGAGGAGGAGGAGGACGACGAGGTGAGGAGGACGACGAGGTAGGAAGGTCCTGGTGGTCGGAGGGGGGAAAAATGCCGATACCGCTGCCCTGGCCTCGTTCTCGGTTTTGTTTTGGGGCATCCTGAGAGGCCCTCGTCGCCACGGCTGCATCTGCTTCGAAATTACGGTCAAAACGTGCGCTGGGAGAGGTCCAGGGAGTAATTAGCGATATCGGTATCGTTTGGTTTCCCCAGATGGGGCGGCTTCTGCCTTGGGGCGCAGAGGTTTCATAGAAGACCACTGAAGCTTTCGCTCGTGATCGAATGAATGTACATCGGCGAGCAGCGCCCAATACCGCTCAATACCGGCAAAAAGCGCCCAGTAGCGTTGAACAGCGATCGCGACCAACAGTTGAGCCCCGAGTGCTCCTGCGCTCAGCCTGGGACGCCTCTCAGCCTGCCCTGAGATCCATGCGCTGCAGCTGCTTCACACCAGGCGCTTTCGCCCGGCATCGGGCCCTGGGATCATCACAGATCGACCTGGCCAGAGAACTACCGCGGGAAGATTGGGTCTGGGGCCCCAGTCGCGATTTTTCGCGAGGCTGCACTTTGTCCGCAGCGTCGTACCTCAGGCCGCACCCCGCCTGGGATGCCTCTCGGCGCGGCGCCGCCCAACCCCCCCTCGACGACAGTGGACGGCGCTCGTTCGTTGCTGCCTGGTGCGGGCAAGCAAGAAGAGCGGCGTGAGCATGCACTTTGGGAGCTCGGCGCTGATCTCTTGGATCGTCGCAGGACCCTCCCTGACGGAGTCTCTGGCGCCGCCCCTGGCGCGCTCCGCGCTCCAGGGAGGAGGTCCCAGCGCAGGTCCAAGAGAGCCGTGCGGAGCTCCGGAAGTTGATGCTTGTGCAGTTTTGTATTCCTCCATTGGCTCTTCCTGGGGCGCCTCTCAGCGTGAGGCCGTCCGCCCGACGGCGTTGACTTGTCGCCGTGACAATCGGTTTTCGTTGGTTGGTCGTAGATGTCGTCGCCGTTCGATTTTCATAGCTTGTTTGCTGGTTTCCGTCGGCGTTCGATCTTCGTATATTTCTTGCCGATTTTCGTCGACATTGGATGTTCTTCGATTGTTCGTTGATTCTCGTCGACATTCGATTGAGATCGTCGCAGGTCGCACCACACGCAGCCTATTGCTAGAGCTCGCAAGCGAAACGGCGCCAGCAGGGTTCCAGCCAAAACGGCCGCGCGAATACACGAGGATGAGGGTGAGGACGAGAGGGAGGCTGGACATGTGACGGATCAGACCAGCTGGGGAGTCTGCAGAAGTGTCGGCCGCTTCTCGCTGGGTATTGGTCTGCGCCGTGCCCCTGAGAGCGGGAGCCGCAGCATGTCGACTGTCTCGCAGTCTGGACTGGGCAGCGAGGCGGGAGCGCGCCACGTGCCAGCCCACAGCGGAGCAACGCCACGCCACGCCGAAGCCACGCCAAGCAACGCCAAGCGGTGCGCCCGTGCAAACGGCAGCACTCCCCCGGTGTGGGCCGCGCCGCGCTCGTCCGGGCCCCGTGGACCGCAGCGGGCACCCCGAGGCCGAGGTCGTTTGACAGAGCGCCCGCCGTGCTGATCGTTTTCTTATTCGTTGTTCTGCCGATCGGCGCGGGTCCCCGCACCCCACTGCCCCCCCCCTCATGGAGTGGACCTTGGCTGCTTGTGGCGCCTGTTTCCAGCAGGTGGGGTCTCCTCCCCCACAGGACGCACTGCTGCAAGCAGTCGCCTGGAGCAGAGGTCCGGAGCCAGTCCCACTCCCCCATGCCGCCCCCCGTGGCGCCTGTTTCCAGCAGGTGGAGTCTCCCCCGCAGGACGCACTGCTGCAAGCAGTCGCCTGGAGCAGAGGTCCGGAGCCAGACCCACTCCCCCATGCCGCCCCCTCCCCCCCTTCCGCCCGCTGTCGAAACGCCGACCAAGAAAACGTCCACGTGGCCCTTGTCGCAGGCCTCGAGGTCGACACCAACACCAACATCGGCGGTGTGCCTTCACCGCGGGAAGAAGCTCCCGACCTCGGTGACGGCGGTAAGATCCTGGCCCTTCCAGGGTGACCGAACTGCTACCACACCGAAATCTGGGAGAATCTCCCCCCTGGGGAGAGGCAGCCCCCCTGTGTCTGGTGCTGGTGCCGGTTTCCAGGCCTCCGGCCTCGGCTCTGTGGGCCCCCCCCCGCGGCCCCGCAGGCCACTCCGGCTCGAGCTCGCTGCCCCCGGGGGCGTGGCCCGGGCGGGGCGCGGAGGGCCTTCTCGGCGGCGCGCAGAAGGGCGTGGTGCGGGGGGCGGCAGCTCCCGGAAGCTGAGATCCACCCTCGGCCGTCCCGGTCCCGTCGCATCCTCCTCCATCCTTCCCCGTCCTCTTATCCTCCTCCGTCCTTCTCTGCCCCCCTCCCCTCGCGTCTCCTTCCCCCGAGCACGGTGGATGTTCTGCGTCCTCCTCCCCTCGAGCGGGCAAGAGGTGGGCTTCTTGGAGGCCCCCAGGCCCTCCGCGAAGCTCCCCTTGCCCTCTACGCGTGGGCCAGGGAGCGTAGCATTAGCACTATGATGTTGAGAGCCCCACGCATGCACGAGTAGCAGCAGCAGCAGTACCAGAATCGGCCACGCGGCCAGGACAGGTGAGCCCAGGTGCTAGTACAATATGGGTTGCTGCTTGCTTCTAATGTGCTGCATAGGCTGCAGGTCTCCAGTGTCGCCCCTAAGTCTGTAATCCAGGTCGCACAGCTAGATGCAGGCCTCAGCGCATGCGGCATGGTCGGCATCACCCTCTGTGTGTTCGCGAGGCGGGATGTATATCCATGTGTCGCTCATGGTGGCCATTGCGGCGAGCCAGGCCAGTTGTAGCCGTGTGCGCGCGTCAGTTGTTGCCAGGTAGTAGTGATGACTGGTGGTTTGATATATGGTAAATGATGTAGTCCACCAGTGGGTGGGCAGGCGGGCTTGTAACGCTGGATGCTGTCGGCCCAGTATTAATTGTCTGACGCGGTACTCGAACATTCAGCTAGGTCTCCTCCTCCTCCTCCCCACACCTCCTCCTCCTCCTCCTCCTCCTCCTCCTCCTCCTCCTCCTCCTTCCTCCTCCTCCTCCCTCCTCCTCCTCTCCTCCCTCCCTCCTCCCACACCTCCTCCTCCTCCCCACACCTCCTCCTCCTCCTCATCCTCCTCCTCCTCCTCCTCTTCCTCCTCCTCTTCCTCCTTCTTTTCCCCACACATCCTCATCCTCCTCCTGCCCCCTCGCCTCGTCCCCCCGCGCAGGTCCACCCAGAGCTGGTTCCAGCGGCCCCTCCCTGGGCCCGTCCTGGCAAGTGTTCCAAGTGCAGCATCCGGCCGTGGCGACGAGGACCGCCCGAAACGTGCAGAAGACTCGAGACGATGGCGTCTGCGACGTCCTCGTCAGCGCCGTCGCCCCGCCCCCCTTCTGCGCGCCGCCATCGGGGACGGCGAGCGCCATGGAGCCCGTGCGCCTGGACATATCCGGGCACGAGGCGCTCGTGGGGCGCGTGAAGGCCGAGCCGGGCGGCCGCGGCTACGCGCTCCCCTCCAGAGGCCATGGTGGTGCCGCCCCTCGAGCGGGGGCAGGGTGCCCACGAGACCCGTCGACGTCGGCCCCTTCTTTTCGGCTGTGTGCTCGGGCGTTCCAGGGGGGTTCTCGTCGCCCCGGTGGGGCGGCTCGAGAAGCTGACGAGGATGGGACCTCGGGAGGGGCCCACGGTGGATTTGAGCCATGGCGCCTCCCGCCCCTCGGGGGGTGATGAAAGCCCCGCCATGGCGTGTAGGACATATTCGGCTGCATCCGCATAACATATACATGTGTACATACGTGCAGCTCTTATATAGCATATACAGAACTCGATGGCACGCACACACATAGCATACGCATGTCTATACAAGCATGTCTGTATGCATGTTCATATACACATATGTATACACAGATATGAATACATAAATGCGCACACACACACATATATATATATATGTACATCCGTACATATACATGCATGCATGCATACATACATACATGCATGCATGCATGCATGCATATATACATACATACATACATACACACATAACTCCATACATACAAATACACATACATACGTACATTCATACATACATACATGCATACATACATACACACATACGTGTATACATGCATGCATACATACATACATGCATGCATGCATGCATGCATACATACATACACACATGCATGCATGCATACATACATGCACATACATACATGCACATACATGCATGCATACATACCTACATACATACATACATACACACATACATACATACGTACATACATACATACATACATGCATACATACATGCATACATACATACACGCATGCATGCATGCACGCATGCATACATACATACATACATGCACATACATGCCCATACATACGTACATGCATACATACATACACACATGCACACATACATACATACATGCATGTATGCATGCATGCATGCATGCATACTTACACATATATATATATAAATATATATATATATATATATATACATATATACATCATAT